GTGGCTCAGTCAGCAAGTTAGCAGGTGCCACAAGGTTTATTTTTAAAGCATCCCTTCTCATGGTGCCAATAGTGGATCTCTCTGGATTTAGGCAGGCCATTTTTTTTCCCCTTCCCCTGTTTGTGGCCCTCAAGGCGGCATGGGGAAACATAGTGCGCGACTAGCATCGGCCACGCTAAAAAAAAAAAATTGCGATTCTTTTTAAAGAAATCCATCATAAAATTTAAGAACTTAAAAGAACATTTGTATGCCCCCCCCGACTCCCTCAGGGTGACTCAGATAACAGATAATCAAGAGTTGGAAGGGACCTTGTAGGTCATCTAGTCCCACCCAAGCAGGAAACCCTACAGCATTTCTGACAGATGGGAGTCCAATCACTTCTGAGCAAAATTTCTGTTGCTCAGTGAGATGGTTGGTCAGTGAGTTGTGCCTCATTTTATGACCTTTCTTGCCACAGTTGTTAAATGAAACACTGAAGTGGCTCAGGAATTCTGGGAGCTAAAGTCCACAAAAGAGGCCACAGTTGCTCACCCCTGCTCTCAGGTAGCGGTTCCTAAACCTTGGGTCTCGGGACCCCTTAAGGTTCTTAAGCTTTGGCTTATGCAGATGAAATCTACTGATGTTTACCGGGTTAGAAAGAAACCCTGAGGAACTTTCAAATTACTTATTTATTTAACTTCACAGAAAGGTCTTGAGGCCGCCATGGGTTCCCAGATCACATTGCTGTTCTTAAGGGCAAGATTTTTTTTTTTTTAAAAAAGTAGTTTTGCCATGAGCATCCGTATCTGATCATGAGAAGAATTAACATCCCTTAGACAAAGAGCAATTTCGTGAATCAACAGTGCTGGTCAGTCTGATCTGCAACAATCTGAAATGTGCTCTAAAACAGAGTGAAAACAAGTAACAGCCCTTGTTAACAATTCTCTAGACAGACTTCTGAGCCGCTGACCCAGCTCTTAAAAGCTCTTGCGAACCGGCACCAGGGGAAAAAAATGGAAAGATTAATGGAAAAGCGCAATTTAAAAAGAGGCGAGACAGAAGGTTTCCATTTAGATGGCACACCCTGAAATAATCACGTTCCCTTCCCTAAAATATGAGTGACTTTTCTGCTCCAACAGGACAGTCAGGAGAAAGAAATGGAAGCCGAGGTGTCTACGGATTAAAAACAAATCCAGGGACTTCTCCTTCATCATGGTGGGGCAATGGTTTGAATGCAACATTGCAGGCTAACTCGATGCAGTTCGATCCTGACTGGCTCAAGATTGACTCATCCTTCCATCCTTCCGAAGTTGGTAAAATGAGGACCCAGATTGTTAGGGGCAATATGCTGAGTCTGTAAACCACGTAGAGAAGGCTATAAAGCACTATGAAGTGGGAAATAAATCTAAGTGCTATTGCTATAAGTACTATTTATGTTTTCAAGGCACAAGTGTTATATCCAAACATCCAAAACAGTCTGGAGAAAGCTAGAGATGAGTAAATAAGGCAGACATGCCACAAGAATGCACTGATCGGCATGGATAGTCGGTCCAGTATTGATCTTGGTGTTAATTTCTGCTTATCTGGAAATTGATTGCTGGTGAGGGAGTCTTTTGGTCCTCTGGTTTCCTTTTTGGCTTTTTGATGATCTGTTTTGAATGGTGTGTAGATGTTGTTTATCTCTATGTGCCTGCTGATAGCTGGGAGGGACCACCAAGAACATTCCACCAACACCGACAGGGCAAGACGCTATATATATAAAAAGAACAAACCCCACTCTCTTCTAGCACTGATGATATTACCTAGTTTGGATAATGAAACGTCTTCAAGAAAACAACCAAGCTCAGTGAACACCAAAAACCCCTCATTCAATATGTACAATCAGACTTGCAAATTTTACTCTTCCTGTTGAGTTGATTTCCTGGTCTGGGCTATTTAGTGGGGCTGTGACACTATATAATAGTAGACAACAGAGGAAAAAAATGGGATTGGAAATAATTAGCTGCTTTATCAAAGAAATGTTGTACAGCGGAAACCTGAGAATGAGGGTGGAGAATTAAGTGAATGCAACAGGAATAAAGGGGTAATTAATGAAGAAAAATATGATTACAGTAGCCATTGAGAGCAAATGAAAAGTAAGGCAGATTCTGGGAATCAAGTTCACGTAAATTAGCTTTGGTCTATATCCCACAGCCACTTAGTAACACGAGTACCCTTCCAGCCTCTGCTGAGCTAGTATTGACCAACAATTAAGAAGCAAACAATACCCCAATTAAGGACTAGCAATTCAGACAAATAAGTTAACAATAAGCAATAGCCTAATCAAGGAACCACCAAGAAAACTCCTACCAACAGTGACAGGGCAAGCCACTTGTATATTAACAAAGAGCAAACCTCACTTCTTTCTAGCACTGATGATGTTACCAAGTTGGGTAATGAAATGTCTGCCAGAAAGCAGCCAAGTTCAGAGAGCACCAAGGACCCAAGTATTCAACCCTAACCTACAAATATTCTATTGATATTGAATGATAACATCTATAGACCTGTGGCCAAAATGACTCACATAGAATCCGGAAGTTTAGATTATGTATCAAGTTGGGGTCAACCTTTAGTGATTACATATGTAGACCTTCTCTAGGATAATCTGTCCCTAACCTGGCCCTTTAGAACTGCTGGAGTGTCAAACTCAAGGCCCGCAGGCTGAATCCGGCCCATGGGGTGCTTAAATCGGGCCCATACTGGAAACAGCAAAGGACCAGCCAGCGGTGCCTCTGGCAGTGAAAAACGGAAGTGGGGGGGTCCCCACACAGCCGTTTTCACTGGCAGAGTGCTCGGCCCACCACAGGCTCCCCCGACATGAGTGACATCAAGCTGGCCACGTCCCACCCACCCCGCAAAGAACCACAACTTTTGTGTTCGCCGGCAGCCTGTGTAGACAGCAGTAAGGCTGGGAGGTGATTGCCCTCCCTAAGGTATAAAGGACAGGTAAAGATGACGAAACCTTTGCAGAAAGCAAAGTCGTTCATTTGGTTCAGATTCATTCTTGAAACTCTTTGTACTTTGGTTGGTTTTTGTTCTGGTTCATTGGACACTTCTGTTGTTGGCAGCACTTCGCAGGAAGAAAGGTGGGTGCTTATCTCAGGGGACTGTTTGAGATTCATTACCGGCTGGGAATGAAAGTAATTCCCAGTATTGCAATAAAACAAGACTTGTTTTTAAAATAAGCATGTGCGTAATGACGATCTCGGAAGCCTTGGTCAGAACAACAACCCTGATGCGGCCCTCAATGAAATCGAGTTTGACACCCCTGCTTTAGAACATATCTTTAAAGCCTCTGCAGCCCTAAACCTGGAGGATTTAATATTCCCCAACAACAAGCTGAGTATATAAGAAAATATATCCATCATGATATTGAAAAGCCTTCCCTGACAGTCAGATAATACAAAAAAAGAAATCCCAAAGGCACCAAATACATAAGGCTATAATTGACCCTTGACACTTAAAGCAGCGAGCTTGCATGAGATCACATTTTTGACTTGACAGAAATATCCTTTCAAGTAGCAGGTAAAGAACTAACTGGTCAATCAAATGTTAAGCTTTGCCAGTCACATAGCGCTCCCTAAAGCCAAGACACAAAAGGCCAAATAAAGGATCAATTCATATTCTCTATGCTGTGCCAGCACAGCAAATCCAGGACAAAGCTGACACAGTTAAGCAACAACCCACTGTAATAACCCTCCCCTCTCTTAGCTTAATAGCTAAATAGACTGCATGCCAGGGGAGGGAGATCAAAGGACAATCTAAGAAAATGGGGCTTCCTTATAGAAGACTCGGTATGAATGTAGAGAAGAACAATGCACCTCACATATACTATGGTGCATACAATGTCCTTCAACATGTGTGAAGGAAGACCTCATGCTGGCGAGAGAAACAGCAACAGCACTTAGACTTACCATATATACCACTTCACAGTGCTTTTACAGCCCTGTCTAAGCGGCTTACAGAGTCAGCCTCTTGCCCGCAACAATCTTTTTTTACCCACCTCAGAAGGACGGAAGGCTGAGTCAACCTTGAGCCTGGTGAGATTTGAACTGGCAAATTGCAGGGAGTCGGCAGTCCGCAGAAATAGACTACAGTACTGCATTCTAATCACTGCGCCAATTCGGCTCTGTCAGTGTGGCCCGATACCCAGCAAATGTTATTTAGTTTTAATACGATTTATTCTATATAGAGGGCACAATGGCTCATTGGTTAAAGATGCTGAGTTTATCAGCTGGAGAGTTGACAGCCCAGGTTTGAGTCCCGAGCTTCTGAGCAACAGGTTGGACTCCGGTCACTTGCTCCAGCTCCTGGCTATCTAGCAATTAGAAAGCATGTGAGTAGATTAATAGGTACCACTTCAGTGGGAAAGTAACAGCATTCCATGTGCCCCGACATATAATCAGGCTGGCCACATGGAAAATGTTTTCAGACAATGCTGGCTCCCTCAGCCAAGAAACAGAGGTGGACACGACTGACGGGGAAACCTTTACCTTTTTATATTCCTATGACCTGTTTTATACCTCTTTTATTCGCTCAGTGTTGAATGTTGTACGTCTATAATTTCTAAGTGCTTCTGACACCAATAAAGAGAGACCTCCAAAGATCCAAACTTACTGGTTCTGACCCCACCTGTAACCTGCATACCTGGCAATAAAGTTCAATGAATATTTCAAATTCAGCCAGGTTGCCAGTTGGCAGGCAAACGTGAATGACAAATTATTTTTATGTACAAGAAGGCAAGGGGATCTGTTTTGTCCTTGAGCTGAAAAATGCCCAGCGGCATCGAAAAAAAGAGGGAGCTTATCCCTGTGCAGAAAAAAAACCTAATTATCTCCTCCGTGAAATGCTTCTTCACTTGGTATTGTTCACTTGAAATGTTTTAAAACACCGCTTTCTGCACTGGTGTGTGTGTGTGTGTGTGTGTGTGTGTGTGTGTGTGTGTGTGTGTGTAGGAGACAGACGGCGGGAAGAGAAATTACCTCTGCAACCTTTGGAGGAACTCCATCTCCGAGAACTTCCCGAATGAAGCATTGTTGGCTCATGTAACACGAGAGTCCGCAGGTCCTCTTGAAGGCATCTTTCAGCCGTTTTAGCTCTACGTCCGTCACTGTATTGAACAGAAGAAAAGGGAGAGGGAGGGAGGGGAGAGGAATTAGGCACATTTGTTTTAAATAAGGACTCTTTGCACTCCTTAACTCAGGGGTGTCAAACTCAAGGCCCGCGGGCCAAATCTGGCCCCTGGGGTGCTTAGATCTGGCCCATGGGGCCACCCTGGAAACAGCGAAGGAGTGGCCGGCGGAGCCTCTGCCAGCAAATAAACAGCTCCATTTTCATTGGTAGAGGGTTGCAGGAGGCCGTCGCGACTGAAAATGGAGCTCGTGAGCCTGTTTTCAGTGGCAGAGCACTCGGGCCGCCACAGGCGCCCCCGATACAAGGGACGCCAAGCTGGCCACGCCTCCCGCCTACCCGAGGTCAAACACAATCCCACATTTCAATGAAATCGAGTTTGACAACCCTGCCTCAACTATTCAAAAAAGGAAAAAAAAGAGAGAGTGAGATTAAGACATCTATAGACCATTTGTCTCATAAGGCAAACTCAACCACACGTCCATCTTAGAGACAGTTTTCTATATAGGAGGTTGACCACTTTTGAACGTACTGCTGGGTCTTCCTCAAAAGTCTGAATGAAGAGATGCAAGAATAAGCTACAGTAGTCCTTGACGTACAATGATTCAACTAGAGACCGTTCAAAGTTACAATAGCACTTATATAAGGTCAGTCCCTGCACTTATGACCGTTGTAGCATCCCCACCGTCATATGATCAAAATTTGGGTGCTTGGCAACTGGCATGCATTTATATATCTATTTATTTATTATTTAATATATAAAATACAAAGAAAAATAGAAATGGGAAATTAAGGGAAGGAAAAGGAGAGGGGGAAAACATGATGTGAGGTACAAAGGAAAAAAGAAGAAAAAAAAGGTGTTGACTTCCATTTTTTTTTAGCACAGTACAAGATAAAAACACTTCAGCCTCGACTTTTTGCTTTTACCTATTAGTATGTAAGTAGAGTTCTAGAGTATTTCTCTTGGTAAGGTCAAAGAATTTGAAAGAATATAGTGAACTTTTGTTAATAAAAATGGTGATGGTTCACAAAGATTATTAGGTGCCAATAGAAATACATACTATTTCCATAGCAAGGAAGATAAAGCAGGAATGGTTAGATTGATTATTTTATTTAAAGAGGAGAATATATTTAAGTACAGATATGACTTCTAGATTTTTCTGCTTCTGATGAAAAAATATATATGAAATTTTGACTTTGCTTTTGCCAATTAGATAAATTTGTCGTTTTAGAAATGGCAATTGGCATATATTATGCAGCATCCTGGGGTCATGTGATCACCATTTGTGATTTTTCCCAGCCAGCTTCCAACCCAGCAAACTCAATGGGGGAAATCAGATCTGCTTAATGACGGCATGATTCATTTAACAACTGCAGTGATTTGCTTAACAACCATGGCAAAAAGGTCATGAAATCAGATAGGATTCACTAAACCACTGCCTTGCCTAACAACAAAAATTCTGGTCCCTATTGTGGTCATAAGCTGAGAACTATTTTTTTATTCCCAGCACAATCTTTCACTTCCAATCTAATTCATACATGTACAGTATATTGTGCCTAATGGTCAGCACCTAAAATTTTCTCCTTATACAGCTCTTCTGTTGCAACTCAGCATTTCAAAAACTGACTCAATTCAGAATTTTGAACCAAGTAGATCCGTGATGACAAACCTGTGGCACGCAGAGCCATTTGTGTGGGCACGCAAGCCCCAGCCAAACTTACCTGCACTGCCTCCCAGCTGATTTTCGGTCCATTTGAGGCAGTTTTAGCCCTCCTGGAGGCTTGAGGGAAGCCTCTACAGCCTCAGGAGGCCAAGAAACGGGCCTTCCGGAAAAACCGGAAGTGCCAAAATGGGCCCATTTTCAGCCTCCTGAGGATTCCCTCAAGCCTCCGGGAGGCGAAAACAGCCTCAAATGGGCCAAAAATCAGCTGGGAGGCGTGTGCATGTGCAGTGCAGGTAAGGTGGCAGAGTGGGGTTGTTGTGCACACATGCACAGGGTGGGTGGGGCGCATTGCATTGTGGGTGCTGGTGCATGTGCTTTCAGCACACCACAGCAAAAAGGGTTGCCATCACTGGAGTAGATGGACAGAGGAATAAAACAGGATTTTTTTTTAAGAAAACCAGAATACTCATTTTTCAGTTTCACTGCTAAAATATTTACTGTGTTTTTCTTAGCTCCGTAGGAACTTTGCTATTTGTACTATGATGTGAATCTGAAGTAGGGGAATTCTCGACTGTGAGAAGAATCCTTCTCGGTCCCCAATTTTCTTGGATATAAAGCACTAATGCTCCCAAACAAACACCCGCTGGACTGCCAAGCACTGTTATTATCTTTGCTTATTCACAGAAGGAAAAAAAGAGTTGTCACCAAGATGGTTGACAACCATTATCAGCGGCACAAAAGCACTGCGGGACTCAAATTGACAGGGGGGAAACAACAAAATCTAAGAAAGGTAGAACCATCAGCCGAGGCCAGGTGGGTTGCATATGCCCCGTGGTTGACCCTTAGCAAGAAACTGTGAAATACTATGCTAATACCTCATTTACATGCCACCTACAGTCGCTAATGGTGAGAGGGCTGGCCGATAAATTTAATAGATAAATCTAAAAAAATGATGCAAGTGGAAGCCTTTGAATCAGAATCAGAATAGAGCTGGAAGTGAGTAGAGTAGAGTAGAGTAGAGTAAACAGAATTGGAAGGGACCTTGGAAGTCTTCTAATCTAGCCGCCTGCTCAAGTAGGAGGCCCTATACCATTTCAGACAAGTGGCTGTCCAGTCTCTTCTTAGAAACCTCCAGTGATGAAGCACCTACAACTTCTGGTGGCAAGCTGTTCCATGGGTTAATTGTCCTCACTATTAGGAAGTTTCTCCTTAATTCCAGGTTGCTTCTCTCCTTGGTTCATTTCCATCCATTGTTTCTTGTCTTGCCTTCTGCTGCTTCAGTGAATAAATTGACCCCCTCTCTTCTTTGTGGCAGCCCCTCAAATACTGGAATCCTGCTATCGTGTCCCCCCGTGACAAACCACTGTCGATCAAAGATGGAGTCTTTGCCATCCATCAGCCAATCAAGTTCTCCTGAAATATCTCCAAATGTCTTTGCTCAGCACTGGGAGACCTAAATTAGCATACAGATAGTCTTTGACTTACAACAGTTCATTTAGTGACACTTCAAAGTTACAACGGCACTGAAAAAAGCGACTTATAACAATTTTTCATGACAACCTTTGCAGCATCCCCATGATCATGTGATCAAAATCCAGAGGCTTGGTTCCTACTTATGACCGCTGCAGCATACCACGGGATTGTGTGACCATTTTTCGCAATCTTCTGATAAGCCAAGTCAATGGGGAAGCGAGGTTAACTTTGACAACCAGGTGACTAACTTATCAACTGCAGTGATTCACTTAGCAACTGTGGCAAGAAAGGCCATAAAAAGGGGCAAGACTCATTGAACCAATTCTCACTTAACAACAGAAATTTGGGGCTCAATTGGGGGTCGTACATCAAGGACTACCTGTAGAGGTAGACTCTGACTTACAACCGTCTGAAGTTACAATGGCACTGAAAAAAAATGACGTATAACCAGTCCTCGCATCCCTACAGTCAGGTGATCAAAATTGAGGCACTTGGAAACCAGCATTTTATCATTCATTTATTTATTCCACAAAAATATACAGCTGCCCAACTCACATATTTATGATGGGCGCAGTGTCCCAGGTTCATACGATCCCTGTTTTCAACCTTCCCAGTTGGCTTCTGGCAAGTCAAATCAATGGAGAAAGTCGGAATTCGCTTAATGACTGCGCAATTCACTTAACAATCACAGCGATTCACTTAACAACTGTGGCAAAAAAAAACAGTTGTAAAATGGGGTGCAATTCATTTAACCAGCTACCTTGCTCAGCAACAAAAGATAATCTGGCCTCAGTTTTGGCTGTTAGTCAAGGACTACCTGTAATAATATTGAAATTAATTTAATAAAAATTGAATTAGCTGCAGTTAAATATTATTTCCTCTTAAGTGTATTTAATATTTTATTGTCTCATTGATTTTTCCTGAGATGGGCATGATTGGCTTCTTTTGATTTCAGCCACTTTCTCTCTAAGAGCTCATTTAAAAAAATATCAGGAGGGTGTTTTTAAAAAAAACATGTCGGTGGAAATAGCAGTATCACAGGGTATTTTTAAAATACACGTCAGGAGAAAGAGCAGTAAGTGCCTTAGAACCAGCAAAATCAGAATCAGAATAGAGCTGAAAGGGACCTTGGAGGTCTTCTAGTCCAGCCCCCTGTTTAAGCAGAAGACCCTATATACCATTTCAGACAAGTAACTAGTCTCTTCTTGAAAGCCTCCAGGGATGAAGCACCCACAACTTCTGGAGGCAAGCTGTTCCACTGGTTAATTGTCCCCACTGTGAGTTTCTCTATTTAATTCCATGTTGTTTCTCTCCTTGATGAGTTTCCACCCATTGTTTCTTGTCCTGCCTTCAGGTGCTTTGGAGAATTAATTGCACTGAAGACTTATATTATCACTTCACGGTGCTTTGCAGCCCTCTGTAAACAGTTTACGGAGTCAGCATCTTGTCAACAAGATTTTACCGACCTCAGAAGGACGGAAAGCTGAGTCAACCGTGAGCTGGCCAGAATCGAATTCCTGGTGTGAGCAGTGAGTTAACCCATCCATTGTTAGTTAGCTTAGTTAGTGAGTTAGTTTCCATCCATTGTTTCTTGCCTTGCCTTCTGGTGCTTTGGGAAATTGACCGCCCCGCTCCTCTTTGTGGCAGGCCGTCAAAGACTGGAACACCGCCCTCATGTCCCCTCCAGTCCTTCTTTTCTCTAGAGCAGGGGTCTCCAACCTTGGCAACTTTAAGACGAGCGGACTTCAACTCCCAGAGTTCCTCAGCCAGCTTTGCTGGCTGAGGAA